AAGCGCCTTGAGGCGACTGCTGTTGTGATCCGGCGCTATATAAATAAAATTGAATTCAATTGAATTCAATTAATTCAAGTTAATTGCTTTATCACTGAGCACAATTGCTGCTGCTATTTGTAAATCACTGAATTAATACATGCACATTCCTGCAAAAATCTCTCCAGAGCAGGTTGGATCCACAGAGGTGGCTGTGCTCCAGAGGCAGAGTAGGCCATTCGAAGGGAGGTGCTTCAATCCCTTTGTACGATAGGCTCTTGTTTCCATCCCAAAAATAAGTCTTGACAAAAAACTAAATGTGTGTGTTAATGAGAAATGCTGTATAAAATATTTTGAGAGCTCAAGTTAACCAGAAAGGTGCCCTATAAAAACTAGCCTTTATTCATCCGTTTATACATTAGCAGTAGTAACGTTTGGTAGTAAGAACCGAAAACCCTAAAAGTTACCTGGACAGCCCAAAAGCTTGTTTCATACTCTGGTCAGGAGCAGGTAAGGAGTTTCAGTTTTAAATCACCTTTAAATACCACATTTTCACTGTTTTTGAGGAATTGAGCTTGAACTTGAGGAATAACTGGGGAATAACTTTTACATGTGCAGCCGTATGCAGTTAATTTGGTAAATGTATAAAATATTTCAGTTTCATTCTCCTGCTAATTCACTTTTACACTGCTAGAAATATAGCTACAAGAACACACATACCAGAGTGTCACATTTTACTGATAATTACCATTTCATAATGGCTCCAGAGTATGTGGCCCTCATATGGATCATTTGAGATGGAAGAAGAGTCATATGATCCGTAAAACCCCCCTTTTAGATCGGTAATGACCAACTCTTTCATGTGACCTCGCAGGGAAAACGCAGCTTAGTAAGTTGATAACTAAATTCATGTGACCACTTATCCTGATCGACAAACTAGGGGTAAATGAATCCAGGTAACAAAAACACGCCCTGGGTCTGCTGAACTTGCTTCATAGTACATGGCCCAGGTTATGTATTCAGCATAAGGGATTTGTAACCACTGACCGGAAGGCATCAACCCCAGCAGCTGACTAATTTCCGGCTGTAGCATAAATCTCCAGAGACCTCAATAAAGGAATAGAATAGAATAGAATAGAATTCAACTTTATTGTCATTGCACATGCACAGGTACAGGGCAACGAAATGCAGTTTGCATCCATCCAGAAGTGCTTTAGTGATATAGATATATTACAATATATATTAGCAATAATATAGATATGTAAGTATATTACAGAAATGGGTCTATTATGTTATAATGTACACGGTATGAAGTATGTTGTGAATATTCTATAACTATAAGTATGTACAGGCTGTAGTGAGTACAAGCTATGTACAGGCTATGAACAGGATATAAATATGAAAAACTATACAGAATATGAAATAAATAACTTTACAGAATCTGAGATATACAGCTATACAGAAATGGGAACTATGCAAGTTGTAAACAGTTGTAGGATTAAAGATTATCGAATGTACAGAATGATTATTTACACAGAGCTATACAGTAGTGCAGTTAAGATAAGTGAGGGTGTAGATAGTTTCTACAGAGGCTATATAAAGTGCTAGTGGTTGTGAGTGGTGGTTCAGTCCATGTTATTATTGTGTTTGAGGGTACAGTTGTCCATTGTGGGTGTGTGTATGTTCAGTCCATATGTTAACGTGGGTCAGATGTCAGGAGGCAGAGTTCAGGAGTCTGACAGCTGTGGGGAAGAAGCTGTTCCGGTACCTGGTGGTCTTAGTCCGGAGGCTCCTGTGGCGCCTCCCAGAGGGCAGGAGGGTGAAGAGTCCATGTGATGGGTGACTGGGGTCTTTGATGATTTTCCCAGCCCTTTTCAGACACCGCTTCCTGTAGATGTCTTTTATGGCAGGAAGTGGTGCTCCGGCGATGCGCTGGGCAGTTTTCATGACCCTCTGCAACGCCTTCCGGTCCGAGGCAGAGCAGTTCCTGTACCAGACTGTTATACAGTTGGTCAGGATGCTCTCGATGGTGCAACGATAGAAGTTCACCAGGATGTAATGATGGTGTTGGAACCATCAGCAGGTCTGCAGTCGTGGGTGAAGAGGGAGTAGAGGAAAGGGCTCATCACACAGCCTTGTGGTACACCGGTGTTCATCGTGATTGTAGATGAGCAGTGGTTATCCAGCCGGACGTGTTGGGGGCGGTTGGTCAGGAAGTCCAGTAACCATTTGCAGATGAGGGAACTGATGCCCAGGTCTGTCAGTTTCCTGATGAGTTGTGAGGGGTGGATTGTATTGAACGCTGAACTGAAGTCTATAAACAGCATTCTGGCGTAGGTGTTGTTGTTGTCCAGGTGTGAGAGGACAGAGTGCATTGCGATGGAGACTGCATCCTCTGTGCTCCTGTTCTGGCGGTATGCGAATTGGTGGGGGTCCAGGGTGGGGGGGAGACAGGATTTGAAGTGTGCTAGGACCAGTGCTCTAAGCACTTAGTGATGATGGGGGTGAGTGCTACTGGGCGGTAATCATTGAGGCAAGATGGGTTGGAGTTTTTGGGTATCGGGACGATGGAGGTGGATTTGAAGCAGGCCGGTACCACAGCGTGGGCCAAGGACAGATTGAATATGTCTGTCAGCACTCCTGCAAGCTCCCCAGAACACGCTCTGAGAACACGCCCGGGGATGCCATCAGGGCCTGCAGCCTTGTGGACATTGATCCTGCTCAGCACCGCTCCTACATCGGTGGGGGAGAGAGTCAGAGGTTGGTGGTCTGGCGTCATGTCTGCTTTGGTTGTGGTTGTGGGGTTCCCTCGCTCAAAACGAGCATAAAAGTTGTTGAGCTCGTTGAGGAAGGAGACATCAGAGGATGCGGGGGAGGGTTTGGTGGTCCTGTAGTATTTAGTATTTAGTATTTAGTATTTATTTATTTATTGTCATTGTCAAGAACAATGAAATTGCGTTTGGGGCTTCCATACAACCCCAAAAAAAAGAAGAAAATAATAAATACCCCTTAAAACCCAAGTGTACATATTTAACCCAGTGTGACTCCAATGCAATAAGACAATCCTTAGTCTGTGATGGTCTGGAGTCCTTGCCACATGCGTCGGGGGTTGGAGTTGGAGAAGTGTTCTTCTACCTTCTTTTTGTAATGGTGTTTGGCTTTTTTGATGCCCTTCTTTAGATTAGCCCTGGCTGTGCTGTAGGCGTGTGCATCTCCTGACCTAAAGGCAGTGTTGCGGGCCTTCAGGAGGAGACGAACATCCCGGTTCATCCAAGGCTTCTGGTTGGGGTACATGGTGATCCGTTTCTGGGTGGTGACACTGTCTGTGGTTTCGGAGATGTAATCCAGTACAGATGAGGCGTACTGGTCCAGGTCTGTGTGGGTGAACATATTCCAGTCTGTGTTTTTAAATCTGTCCTGGAGCACTGCGTCTGTCCCCTCTGGTCACACTTTAATTGTCCTCACAGCAGGTTTCACACGTTGGATGAGTGGTGAATACCGAGGTGTGAGGAACAGGGAGAGATGGTCCGATTGTCCAATGTGGGGGAGGGGGGTGGCTTTGTAGGCTCCAGCCAGGTTGGAATACACGGTCTAAAGTCTTGTCTCCTCTGGTGTGGCAGGAGACATGTTGGTGGAATCTGGGGAGGACTGTCTTTAAGTTGGTGTGGTTGAAGTCGCCAGCAACAATAAAAGCAGCCTCGGGGTGTTTATTCTGGTGTTTGTTAATGGCTGCAGAAAGTTCTTTCATGGCCAACCTAGCATTAGCGTCGGGGGGTATATACACGGCAGTGAGTATGATCGAAGTGAGTTCTCTGGGGAGATAATAAGGTCTGCATTTGACCATTAAAAACTCTGCATTAGGTGAGCAGTGACACTCAGTAGTAGTGGAGTTCATGCACCAAGCATTGTTAATATAAATGCACAAACCTCCACCTCTGGTCTTGCCGGAGTCATCTGCTAGCCTGTCGGCTCGGTGTGGCGTCCTGCTAACTCGATAGCATTGTCCGGGCAGCTGTTGTTCAGCCATGTTTCGGTGAAAAACATGACATTTGCTGTATCACAACTGTAGGGTGTAACACATCTGTGTCCTCTGTTAGAAATAAACAGCTGGCCACATACCTGGATTAAAACTACTTTAGATTGCACAGAATTCACAGACAGCCAATATACTTTGGTCCACACAAGACAAAAGACTCCATGAGCAAGAAGAAATTCTGCATGATTGTGTCTTGGGAAAGTTCTACCCATCCCTGACTTCAGAACACAGAATGGCCACACTGGCTACAGAATTAAATCCCTTCTTCAAACAGTTCCATGGGGCCTTTGATCTCAGTGTTTTTGAGAAATGGAATTTATGAAAAATGAAATATAACCTTATCCTTTCAGGACATACATGGGCTCCCAAAACCAGCCCTGATCTGCTGTGCAGTTTTTTGGCTCAAAGCTAATGCTAACTCATGCTATCACAGGTGTCAAACTCCAGGCCTTGAGGGCCGGCGTCCTGCAGGTTTTAGATGTGTCCTTGATCCAACACAGCTGATTTAAATTGCTAAATTACCTCCTTGACATGTCTTGAAGTTCTCCAGAGGCCTGGTAATGAACTAATCAATTGATTCAGGTGTGTTGACCCAGGGTGAGATCTAAAACCTGGCCTAGACATTGGCCCTCGAGGCCTGGAGTTCGACACGCCTGTGCTAGATGGAGAGCTTCTGGAAAGCTGAACATTTGCTGGGATTCCATTCTGCTGTGATGGGCCATTGGCGTCTTATCATCAAACAGCTTAACTGAATTCTACATATCAATATGTGGGAGAAAAGGCTTACACTAGCTGACATATGGTTAGGTGTTTAATAGATTTCCTAGAATAGGACCCAGATCAAAATGTAGGGTGGTAGAGAAGTAGGCAGTTTCAACACTGGTACAAAAACAGTATGTAAAGGATTTTTTTTTCAGTCTTTGCGTAGGATCTTTTCTGATTCTGTAAGGCAGATACCTGATTTATGTTACTCTGTCATTCCTAGTTCACTGATTACCAGAGCTATGTGATCCATGGCTGTTTGGTGGACAACCTGACTCTGGAGCGCTCCATTGCTTTGTTCAACGGCGTTTCACAATGGGTGCAGCTGATGGTTCTCAGCAAACTCACACCTCAGACCCGTGCAGAGGTCATCACAAAATACATCCATGTGGCACAGGTAAGCCAAGGAGGGCAGGCTCTACGCACAGCTCTTCCAGCTTTCACAAAGTATTTCTCTCCAAAACATATAGAAATAACAGGGTGACTCAGCACTGTTACAAAACCATACTATATAATTAAGTTTAAATTCCACATTCCACATAAATTCCAAATCTTAAACTCAAGATTTTTCTTTTGACTAGTCAAACAAATTATCGAGAAAAATGCAACAGTAAAATCTTACAGATTAGAAAAAACCCACTCAGCTAAAGTGGCAAAACAGCATCTTGGCTTTGCTCATTTGCAGTGCAGAGGCTCAGAGATGTTATGATAGCTTTTCCCCTAAACTGCCACCTTAAAGTCTAACATAGTAATACAGGGTTAGGCTACATTTAAAGCCACAGTTTCAGAAGCCAGAAGTTACTTTCAATTTATGTCTTTTTTAATATGCATTTTGGCCTCATAGTTGTTCTAATATAATATTTTTGTATTTATGCAGCAGTCTGCTACTTCCTGAGCCTTGTTCAGCTGGAGGTTTCTTCCTGTTAAAAAAGGAGTTTTTTTCTTTCCACTGTCCTTTGATTTGTCAAGGTTTTCTCTCTGATATTGTACCTTAACAATGTAAAGCACCTTGAGGCAACTGCTTTTTATTGTGTGAATTGAATTAAACTGAACTGAATTAATTTATGCCAGATACATTAAATTATAGCTAAGGCAGTAGATGTGAACTAAACTCTAACTCTGTCACTGAATGATGATTGGATTGGACTGACTGAACCTTAAGAGGCTAACATTTCACATATTTTCATCGTTTTTAAACCATTCAGTGAGCTCCCTATGGATAGTATAGTATATAGAAAGATAGATAGATAGTTTGTATCTAGGGGGAGAGATGGGCCCTGCATAAACAAGTAACCCGTTTAACTCTAAAAGGCACAGTGGTGTTATAGAATGTCCCCTTTTTTTAAAAACAATGATAATTCTTCGTCAACCACATAACTGAAGTATGCCATCTGGAGGATGTAGGCTGAATATCATGCTGCTGTTTCTCTCACACATACCTGACATTTTTTATATGTTGCTGCCATCAAATTCAAATGAAACTGGTTTTTCATGAGAGAGTAACATGTTTCAAATAAATGATATAAGAAATAATACTAGTGTTTGGTAAATGGACAGGTGTTTATGTAGCACTTTTCTTCTCAAGCTGAGCACTTAAAGGGCTTTTTGCTACAAGTCTTATTCACCCAGTCACACACAGGATTTGTAAAAAGAGAATGCAAATATACGTTCTTATTCTTAGTCTTCTTCTTCTTCTTCTTCTTCTTCTTCTTCTTATTATTATTATTATTATTATTATTATTATTATTATTATTATTGAGTTTGTTTCATCCAGGACGTATCTATTAAAATATGTCTGGTACAGCTTTGATCTCTTGTAGTTAAAAGTGAAAGTCTTATGAGAAGACAGACAATAACAGTTAGAATATGGATTGCACAGGCAGTCACCATTCAGATTTAATGGCCCTTCTGTGGATGAGTATGTTTAGCTGCCTTTAAGCCAGATTCTTCATGGTTCCACACTATGCAAAAAAATGGCTTCTTTAATATTTTTAATATTCTCTAATATTTCTCTAAAACAAACAATAACAAACATACAAAAAACACCGCAAAAAACAAATGCACTTGAGCTGTTGTTCAGTCATAAAAGCTCCCCATCATCAATATTTATGTTCCATATAGTGCACACTGTTAGAAAAAGCATCTTGAAAAAACGGTAATATTCTGGCAGCTGGGGCACCAAAATACGACCGTATAATTACAGAAAATAACTCCCGCATAAAAATACGGTCATTTTCAGTAATGAAAATAGAGTTTGTTGCGCTAATTTGACATGGGATTCTGCTTTTTCCAAGTGCTTTTAGACATTAAATTAGGAACATTTTAACGTGATCAAACAATGAAATTACCTATAAACAAGGTCACTGAATGTGGAAATATGAATCATAACACATAAATATACAGAAATATACAGTTGGTTTAAATAATAATTGATTGCATGCCCTGGGACAGACTGACAGAGGCGAGGCTGCCATATCGCACCATCGGCCATCACTAGTAGGCGGTAGGTGAAGAGTCCTGACCACGGACACAACGGCGGACAGTGTCCGAGCCGGGGAGCGAACTGGCAACCTTCTGATCACAAGGCGAACTGCCAACTCTTGAGCCACGAACGGCCTAACTAGCAATGATAATAATACTTATGTGCTGTAACACAAGCTTATAGGGATCATGTTATATATAGCATTACATTTGAATTCAACAGTTCAAGCTTTCAAATAACAGACAGATATTTGTGAGTTCATGATACATTTGTGAATGTATTTTAACAATCTAAATATGCATATGTACAGACAGCTACATTTAATAATCATGACAATTATGTTGTATTACATTACAGTGATGTAACGTTAATTTACATTCAAAATGTGAAGTCAAAGTCTATTTACGTACTTTAATGATATTCTAGAAGAACAGAACATTACTGTAAAATGCAGTAAAATACCTTCATATTAGGGTTTTTTCCTACGGTCGCAGCCATACCCGCGACCTTGTTGTTAGTTCACATTCATTGGCCGATGCTTAGCGACATATTATTTATATTTATTGCAACTCCTACCTCTACATTTCTTTTTCAAAATATATAATTAGCACAGCGTGTCCATGCAATGTTTTACATTGTGGCATGCAGAGAAATCTTAACAAAGAAGCTCACAGAGAGAGATTGAACTTGTTATTTAACCCCAAGCTGGTGGGGGGAGCGCTTTATTAAAACACTTGCGGTGCTACAATGTGCCTCAAGGTTCAACAACAGCACCACAGAAGTCACTCATGGTACAGCACTCTCTCTACCAAACAACAACTGTCAGTGACGCTGCACCACTGCGTAAACACAACATTCAAGATAACAGTTAAAAGTAACGTAACCATAAACAATAAAACAAGAACATCTAAACAGCAGCTCATGTCCCAAGGCATGATGGGAGACATTTCTGGATTTCTGGATATTTTTACAATCTAAATATGCATATGTACAAAAAAATATATTTAAAAAACAAGTAAATTGTGTTTTATTACATTTACAGTGATGTTATGTTATTTTACATTTGACGTGTCAGATCACAGTCTACTTATGTAAATGTAATGATATTCTAGAAAAACAGTACACAACTGTAAAATACACAGTAAAATAATTTGACATTACTATTTACAGTTTACTATTACAGTGCAGGATATGGTTCTTTCTGTCTGTGTTCTAGGCAAAGAGCTTCTCCATTACTCTTCCATTTGTATTGAAGGATGGATGCATGCCCTAATAATCTGCCCTGTCCTTTCTCCTACCAAAGTAAAGGCTGTCTACAGAAAGGGTCAAGGATGAATCTACTTAACACACTGCCATAATGACATGCTGCACAGAATATTGTGTGCTGGTTTTTAAGATGGCTTGGTCAGCTTCAAGTGCAAATGTTCTCATTTTGTAAGCATGCATATTGTAACATATTGTTATGTTATGTAATGCTGAATTGAAAAGTAAATATTGACTGGGCTCCATGCAGCAGACTGGGACTCATCAAAAGCTTATGATGGCTTGGTTTGGATTTGGTTTTATTCACATAGCCATTTGTCTCTCATCTCAGCATTATTAGATTATTAAAATAAAGTAAGTTTTTACAATTACTCTGATAATCATAGTGGTAGCAAAGCTTTCTTCTTCAGCTATTGTCATTGGAGACTGGTGCAGTGATAATGAGCTCTAGTATTCATGTACTGTGGTTTCAGAAAGGAGTCAGCTTAATTTGTTGGTAAGCTCTTAGATTAACATCCCCTCCACAGTCCATAAAAAAATTAAATAAAGTTTTTCAGTGTTTTTGAATTTTAATTAAAAAAACGAAACAATAATTGAATAAATTGCCACACTCCAAACTAGCACACCAAGGACCAAAAGCAAGGCGCTAGGCCACCTCTTTAGACAATAAACAGTGATCTTCAACATGTCTTTCTCTGGTCATCAGAAACTCCTTCACCTGCAGAACTTCAACACTTTGATGGCGGTGGTGGGGGGCCTGAGCCATAGTTCAATTTCTCGCCTAAAGGAGACTCATTTATATTTGGCTCCTGAAGTAGTCAAGGTAAGTCAGTGCCAGTCTTTTGTATGTAGATTCATTTATGATTACTACACAGTTACAGGTGATTCAGTGGAAATGTATTTTCTTAGCAACAAGCCTTTACCCTGTTTCATTAAGGAATTTGTACTGCAGCGCGGTGGTGCTGTGATTAGAACTGTTAACTCACAGCAAGAAGGTCCTGATTTTGGTTCCACCACCTGGCCTTTCTCCTTGGAGTTTTCATGTTCTCCACATGTTTGTATGGGTTCTGCCTGGGTATTTGGCTTCCTTCCATAGTCCAAAGACATGGATAACTTAAACTTTTGATTTGCTTGTGAACATGGTATACCCTTTACCGTTTGCTGCTTCTTGCCACAGATCTGGAATGAGATGACAGAGCTGGTCTCTTCCAACAACAATTACTCTTGCTACCGAAAAGCCTTCAATGAGTGCCAGGGATTTAAGATCCCAGTACTGGGTGTGCACCTAAAGGACTTGATTGCAGTGCATGTGGTGTTT